TCCTTGTGCCGTCTGCCCAGTCTGCTCCCAGCCCCTGGCTCTGGAAAACAGCCCAAGGGGTTATTTTTGTACAAGGCTGTCCCCCTGATTAGACGGGGCATCTGACCTAAGTGCAACTAACCCGTGAGCCAGCCGGTGACTTGGCCTGTTAGAAAAGATAGGCCTAGTAGGTTGGATTTCCCTCTTAATGTTTCTGAACCAGAAAAGTTGAGAGAAGAGGGTAGCGGTGGGAGAGGAAGCTGCCAGGTCGTGATGGTGTGTGAGGGAGGGGGCCGGCATGGGCCCATACACGCCAGCATAGAGAGTGATCCAATAAGGTGGGGGAGAAGCCACAGAGTGGACCGAGGAGGGCGCCCAGGAGTGAGCGATGCGGGAAAGATGCAGAAGGAGGTCAGATCATATTAAGGGTGAAGCATCAGATGGAGGACACACAGACTCCTACTACCAAGGCCCCAAGGTCTGCTGCAGATTCAGAACCACCTCTAGGTGCCCTCCGTTCCCCAGTGCCAGGCTGTTTGGCCTTCTCTAGGTTCTTGGGTCCAGGCATCCTCTAAGAAACCCCCATGATGTCTTCAAGATTTTCATTTTATTAGAGTATACATTTTCAAAATAGTTTCTGATTATTGTCTGTACCTCACTAGTGTCTGCCATGATATCTGTACAACCACAAGAATGGGGAGTTATACTTCATGTATGTATAACATGTCAAAAGGTATTTGCTGTCACATGTAATTCAAAAGAACAAATAAAAAATTTAAACCCCCATGACAAGAGGACACATGGCTTCGTCCGTCTCATGCAAACAGAATATCTGTTAGGCTAATAATCCCTTAGAGGCTTGGAGACTGAGGGTCTATGGAACCTCCCCAGGCTCAACTGCAATACAGAAGAGACATCCTCTAGGAGGTAGATGCAGAGTCACTTCCCAACAGTAGTGCCTAAAAAATGATTAATTGGCGAACACTCATGCTGCTCTCTGTGTCTAACTTGGGTAGTGTAATGCTGTCCAGGAGCAGAAGATGGTGGCCCAAGGTCAGCCACTCTGTGATCCCTCAAAGGCTATTTCTGGGCAGCCTTTATCTTTCGCTGCCCTGAGACTCCCCACTGTGGCTGATTCTTCTTCATTGTGATTCTTTGAATACCTCTACTGTGTGTCATCTGTACAGAGCCTCTTGGCACCCACCACCTACAATTTTGGTTACAGCCTTTAAAGGTCTTTTGTGTCTGGGAGCGTCTTGCTTCCCTGGACATTGGACCGGAAGTCAGGAGTCCCTCCTCTGAAACTCTGTGCTGTGTGACCTTTGGTAAGTCACGGACATCTCCAAGCCTCTATTTCCTCATGTGTAAAGTGAGAGTAAGACATCGGATCACCAGCAACTATGACTGGCCTGTCTTCCAGGGATAGGGTTCCTGGAACAGGGACCAATTGTTAATGTCTGAGAATGCTTTCTAACTGCATTGTGGG